TCCAAAAACACTTATAAAAAAATTGGTCTAAAGAGTTTAGATAGTACTTCCCTCGCTGTCGGAAACGTGACGACTGCATGCCTATTATGTTTTTTTTCATATTACATTTTTGTAGCGAGGTATTTTAAAATAAAATGAGTATTAATTTTTTCAATTTTATCATTATTTGGCATTGACATCTTTGTAATTTATTATGTGATTGCTATGATTGCTTATTAAAAAAGAAATAAATTGGATGAAGTCGTCTCTGGGGTGTATTGCCTATGTAAAAATTGTCAGGCGTAAACAGATAACAGGAACAAGCTGTATAGTACTTGTAATTTATGATAAATACGTCTGCAAGATTTTAAAGCATTCGATTTTTTAGATTCAAAATTAAATTGCAAAATGTTTCATAATTTTGATTTTTTTTCAACAATCTGGAATAAACTACATGTGCAGAACTATGTTATTTTATACAATTTAAAACCCATTTACTATGTACAATTTTGAAGTGACGTCATCGCATTAGTGGTGGGGATGATGAGACAAATTTTGGTTAGCATGTTACTATCTACACGATATTCTTAATGTTAGTACAAAATTTCACAATAATCAGCCTAGTACTTTCGGAGATTATCTGTCTAATAAAAATCCGTATATATGTACAGTTGGGGACACAGAATTTCAAACGACCTGTCAATCATAATGACAATAAGGTATAAGACTACAATGTTTTTAAATGTCAGAAAGTTGGTTGTCGTTTGAAATTCCGTGTCCCTAACTGTATATTCAGTTTTTTAATTGAAGAATCCATAAATTCAAAAATCCCTAAACTGAAACATCGAAAAATTGAAAAATCAAAATTCAAGAAATCGGAAAATCTTTAAAAAAGCGAAAAATTAAAATACATATTGAAAAAGTGAAAAATCGGGAAATCGAAAAACCGAAAAGTACAGAAATTGAGAACTGCCAAACAGAAATGACGAAAAATTGAACTCTAGAAACCCAATAAATCGAAAAATCGACAAAACCTGGATATCAAACTAGCGATTTTTCGATTTCTCGCTTCTTCAATTTTCCGTTATTTTAAATCTTCAGTTTTGAAAATTTTTAGATTTTTCGTTTTTCGATCTTTAGACTTTTCAGTTCTTCGATATTTCTATTTGATTTTCGAAGCTTTCTATTTTAGATTTTTCGGTTTTTTGATTTTTCAATTTCTAGATTTTTCTATATATCGATTAGTTTTTTTAATTTTAAATTGCTCAATTTTTCAGTTTTTCGAGTTCTCGATTTCTCAGTCTTTTGATGTTTCGATTTCTCGATGTTTCGGCTTTTCAAATAAAAAATAAATATATTCAAAAATCCCGAAATTGAACCACGAAAAATTGAAAAATCAAAGATTCAAAATTGGAAAAATTGAAAAAACGTAAAATCGAAAAACCGAAAAGTCGACAATTTAAACAGTCGAAAAATTGTAGAATGAAGAAACTGAAAAATCAGGAAACTATAAACTTCCAAAACAGAAATAACTAAAAATTGGAAAATTCAGAGCCCGATAAAGTGAAAAATCAACAAAACCTAGAAATAGAACTGGCGATTTTTAGACTTTTCAGTTTACTGATATTTCGATTTTTCAATTTTTCGATTTTTCGACTTCTCGATCTTTAAAAAAAAATCGATTTCCACAATCTCTTGATTTAGATTCCTCTTTGTTCCACTTTTTCAATTGAAGAATCTATAAATTCAAAAATACCAAAAATCAAACATCGAAAAATGGAAAAAATAGAGCAATATCGAAGAACTGAAAGATCGAGTAGTCGAGAAACCGAAAAATCTTAAAAAAAAATGAAAAATTAACATATTGAGAAATTAAAGAATCGAAAAATTGAAAAATGGAGAAATGCAAAAGCCAAAAAATCTAAAATTTAAGAAACCGAAAAATTGAATTAATTTTTCAATTTTGAAAATTTTAGGTCATTCGATTTTTCAGTTCTTCAATATTTCTATTCCATTGATTTTCGAATGTTTAGATTTTTCAGTTTTTTGCTGTTTCGCTTTCTTGATCTTTCGATTTTTCGCCTTTTTTATTTTTAAATTTCACAGTTTCTCAGTTTTTTGTGCTGTTTCGATTTTTCGATTTCTCAATCTTTTTATGTTTCGATTTCTTTATATTTCAGTTTTTTAATTAAATCCATAAATTCAAAAATCCCAAAACCAAAATATCGAGAAATTGAAAGATAGAGGAATATGGAAGAACTGAAAATCGAAATTCGAAAAATCTTTAAAAAAGCGAAAAGTTATAATAATAAAAAAGTGAAAATTCGAAAAACTGAAAAATCAGAATATTGAAAACTTCCACAACAGAAATGACGAAAAATTGGAAAATTCAGAGCCCGATAAAGTGAAAAATCAACAAAACCTAGAAATAGAACAGACGGACAGACGGACAAACAGACGGAAACAGGAGACCTTCGTCCTCTAGGGATAATGAAAGATCGAGAAAACGTAAAAGAAGAGAGTCGACCGACGGACTCGATTACAATACTTCCTTTGCTTACGCTCGGGAAGTAATTAAAGAAATTCGACAAAAAAGATGACGAATAAATTTTGATTAACGATTTATCATCTTTCCTATAATCTTAAAACGTTTGCAGTATTTTAGTACATTCGCTTTTGCAATTTTAAAGTTAAATTATTATAAAATACAATTTTAATTTTTTTTCCCCAAAAATCTGGATGTCTCGACACAGATTCCTGCATCACACTTACAGTAGTATGCAATCCTATTAAATTAGATATATACATATAATACCAAAAAAAGGGTCAAACTAATCAAACTAGTCGTAAGTAAAATGATACGTTCCACCCCACATGTTGATTTTTAATTTATCAAAAATATTTATCGTTTTATTTTTGGTAAAAATCTCAAAATCTGCGGTTTCTATTTGAATCGGCGTGAATCATGGTCAAAATCTTTGAAAATCCAAAATTTTTCAAAATACATATAAACCTTAAAAATGGAGTAAAATGTTAAAACAATGCATTAAAAAAACTTCACGACAAAAATTGACTTTTTTTATTTTATAAAAAAGCAATAAAAAAATTGCAACGTCAAAATTGGTCTATTTACTTAAAAAAAGATACAGCACCTTTAAACAGGTAAAAAATAGCTTCAATAGATAAAAAAAAATGTTGGGTGAAACGTATCATTTTACTTTCTATTGATTTCAATTTAGAAATATCGTCTAAAACGTCCGTTAATCTAATCCTTAAACCCCAGTCATTCACGTAAGGATTGAATTTGAAATAACAGAAATTGTTTTTGGAATCACCAAAAATGATGTCGTTATTGTTTAGAGGAGCATATCAAAAAAAAAAAATTATTAACGATTTACCACGTTTAAACGTTTGCAAAAGTTCAGAGTATTCGGTTTTGAAATTTCAAAGTTAAATTGCAAGATGCTCGAAAAATCTAAATGTCTAGGATAAAAACTCGACAAAAGTTCATAAACCATATGTTTTCTCTATGGGTCATGACCCCTACATCACAAAATAATGGGTCTCCCATTTCCGTTCGTCTGTCTGTCTGTCTGTCTGTCCGGCGTCCGTGACGATTTTTGTCAGACTGATAATCTCAGAAACCACCAGGCCGATTATTGTTGTTGTCACATTTTATTTGTGTATTATAATTATCATGTGGATGGTAAAACGCTAACCGAACTTTGTCTAATCATCCTCACCAACAATGTGAGGAATGATGACGTTACCTCAAAATTGTCCATAGTTAATGAGTTTAAAATTCTTTAAAATAACATAGTCCTATACGTGTAGTGTATGAATCTGCGTTGAGTTTTTACTCATGACGTCCAGATTTTGGGAAAAAAGTCAAAATTGTACAACATTTTAATTTTAAATCTGCAAAACCGAATGCTTTGAAATCTTGCAAATATTTTAAATTTTAATTATTTTAATTAGGTGTATCTGTTTATCCACCCAAAAAATTGATGACGTCATCTCAAAATTTTTTCGCCTAAATCCTTTCGAAAATGTGCAAAATATGATGACTCCATACTTGTGATTTATCATTGCATTAATATTTTTTAGAATTGCTTATACAATTTATATTATTGATTAAATCAGGAACGGCTCACTTCATTTTTACGAAAATAAAAAGTGCAATGCAATTGATATTGATATTACACTGCACATATCCAAATTGCTATACATGCCCATCGCAAAAATGTTGATAATGCTATCACAAAATTTTGTAAAAAAATATACATTTTTTTCCTTTGAAACATACGCGTAGCACGTTTCTTTACAGTTACTTTACTGCTACATACGTACCTTTGTTTTAACTTACAGGGGTTCTCATAAAAAAAATAAATTCACAAAATCAAATTTTGCAATTTTTAGAAAAAACTGGATATATTTTATTGTAGAGGCGAGGGAAGTTCTGTCGAAATAATCTTCTTCTAACTCTACATTTATATTACATTTTGTGATAATTTCTCATCTTTATCGAAATTTCCGCTTAATAACAATAGATGTTAGATTTTTGTTATTATTATTTGTTTTGTGCATCTTGCATCCAGGTGTCGTTGCTAAAGTCGTGGAATTACCCCAATCAAAAGTCAAACTTTTTCTCTTTCTATCTTATGGACTTTGCGTGGGACAAAAAATCACCAAATACACGTCGTACAATCTTATTGTAAATTTTGAAATTTGTCATTTATTCCAGTCAAAAATGTAGAGATTTAACAACCAAGCAAAACAAATAATTTTAAATGTCTTAGACTATCTTGACAGAAACCAAGATGTTTTGGAATTTAAAAAAAAGGAAGACAGAACTGGCCGCAGAAATGTTGAAAATTTCAGAAAGATCTGTCTACAGGCTACAAAAAAGTCCAGGTTTAAGTGACTTTGAATACAAGAAAAATATGTTTTCTATGATTACACACATAAAGACAAAAGTGAATCCTGCAGATTTAATGTCACTTCGGGAGATTATCTATAAAATGGTTGTTTCTAAAGAATACATTATAATTAAGTTACTGCACCATCGAGTAATGGAAGAGATTCCCGATTTAATGTTAGTCCTAAATCGGTAACCAACTAGATAAGGAAAACTGGTTTCAAATTTAAGAAAACTAATAACAACATATTTTTGATGGAACTTCGTTCAGTTAAATTAAAAAGAACAAATGTTTTACGTGAATACCACCAACGCAGAGGAAAAAATTTATACGAACCTTTTTTTCTGGATCAAACCTGGGTATTTAGTAAGGGTAGCATATGCAAAAAGACATGGCAAGACGGTTCAGTAAACACTGCTCTTGCAAAAACTGGAAAAAACTGCAGATACATTGTGGTTCACGCTGGAAATAAAAACGGTTTTGTTGAAGGAGCTTCTTTAATTTTTAAAGCTAATAGCAAATTGGGAGACTATCATGACAACGTGAACCAGGAAAATTTTGAAAAATGGTTCAAAGAACAGTTGATACCAAGTTTGCGGGAACCATTTCTTTTTGTGATAGATAACGCAAGTTATCATAGTAGATTTGAGGTGACAATTTAGTCTTAATATATTGTAATAAAACTTTACTTTATTTGTAGGAAGAAATTCCTCGAAAGAGTTGGACAAAGACAAAAATGATAACATATTTAAATGGGATTGATTATGCACCCAAGACCATGAAAGACCAAATCTGGGGAATATTGGTTAACAAACAATCCCAAAAACGTTATCATTTAGACTTACACACCCAACATCATGGGCATTGGGTATTGAGGCTGCCACCTTATCACTGCCATTTCAACGCTATTGAAATGGCATGGTCGGAAGTTAGAAGAAATAATGATAAGATCATTCCAAGAACCTGATCTTCCTCTAATGATGTTTGTGCAACTTGGCATAATGTGATTGATCAAGTTCCGGCTATGCATTGGAACAATTTCGTTAAACATACTGATAAAATAATAAATTGTGCTTGGGGAAATGAACAAATTTTAGATATTTCTGAACAGAATGAAATTATTATTAATGTTAATAATTCGGATGATAGTGAGAGTGGAAGTGAGAATGATAATGATAACAGTAGCCTTGAAGATTTAGATGTTGATATGTTATAACTTGAAACTTTTTCTTATTAAAGCTTCCGTTTTTTCGTTTTTTAATGAAGTTTATGTAATTAAGTAAGTCCAGTTTATCAAAACTTAAAAATTCAATTTACAAAACATTTCTCTTATTGACTTTCTTTTTTTAGTATCTTTTTATAATTGCGGATTTGAAATTTAGATTTATCCATAGCAACATATTCGTAACATATAAGAAATCACCTACGAAAAGGTAGTAAAAAATGTCACATTCTAAGTGTTTTTGACAAGGGGTATTTCCACGAGTATATTATATTTTTTTACTAAGTTACGAGTATATTATATGTTCTGCTAATTTTTTGCCATTTCTTTTACGTGCCCCCCCTAAATTACTAGTCCCATATTTTCACCAAAGATTAACAGACACATGTCACTTAATAATCGTCACTAACCCTGCTGCTTTGTCGTCTTCATAATCACGTTGTAAAACTTTAGTTTAGTTTAGTTTAGTTTAGTAAAAAGTTTAAGGTTCTTGATTGATCTCCACGTTTTCATTGCATATAAACCTCGCCGAACGGTGACTGAAAAAATCCGAAATCAATTTATTTTAAAGTTTCTTCTAAAGTTAAACATAGACCAATAAAAAACAAATCTCTCCGTAGTCACTTGCGAATCGTCGCGTAGCGAACAATTGAAAATCAGTTATCAAGCCGAATTAAGCGATTAAATCCGGTATAAAATCAATTCTCTCCCGTATTAAAACGCCATCAAAATGCTAACGAGGCCTGTTAAAAAGATCACTCGAATCGGGCGGTTCCGAACACTAATACCAACCTAATAAAAAGTAATGTCTGTGGAGAACCGTACCAGAAATTGATAATTCCGACGAATGCGGGCGAACCAAAACCGCAGAGTCCTCCATAAAAGCGACCATCAGAATAACAGCAGTCATCTCAATATCGACTGGCAGTGCCTACTGAGATATAACTTCGGTTTTTGGCAGCCTTAATACGGGATCTGCATATTCATGTGAATGGATGGAAAAGGAGGGAGCGCGGCAAACGCGGCCGCATTGAGAGGGAAAAGGACGGAGGAAAAGTATGGATCAAAACGTCGCAACTGAATTCCTAATCCACTGTCCGAAGCTAAGCCGAAAGCGGAGGACTATGGGAAATATAGAGGCTTAATTCGAGCGACTGTTTCATTCTCTTCGCGTTATTTATTAACTCTATATGTGTGCATCTCTTGTCGATAGCGCGCGGTCAGCGGGTGCGAGAGAGATGGCCGGACGTGGACGTTGTCGATGCGAGGTGACGGCTGATATCTGCAGTTTTGCAGGCGATTTTCGGAGGTTTTTCTTTTTCGAGAGGGCCATTACACATGCTGGAAATGCACCTGAAGTGATATCGTGTCGGGCAAATTTTTACGATGACATCGGCTTCAGTATTTAATCTCGGACATTAATTAAAAACAAGGAAAGTTGTTTACGCAGAACTGGGTTTGCAGTATTAAAGTTGTTTTTGGGAAGTTGGTAATTTGCAAACTCAGAGCAATGGTGCCATATTAAATCGTACCTAATTATCAAATTTTTGTGATAGATATCAATATAGTTCAAAGCTTTCAAGAATGTTTTGCACATTCAGTGATCTATGAAATGATGATAGACGCTTTTATCAACGATTTTTCTTAACTAAATTTGTGACATCACGTTAATGTAAACAGTAATCAAACATTGCAACTTACTCGAGCTACTATTGAAATTCAGGAGGTATTGTTATTAAATCACGTTGGATGTCTATCTAAATTGAAAAACCACCTATTTTCTATAGACCCCTCTACACTACCAGAAGGTTTGTGAAAGATCAGCAGTTTCGTGCAGAAGAGTCTATGGACGTGTATTTTTTCAAGGCTCAGTAACTGGCTGATGAAAAACATGATTTCGGTTACCTTAAATAGGATGGAGCAACAGCACATACAGAAGATTTAATTGTGGCTTATAGGCAACAGCTTTATGAGAATGTACGTAAAAAGGATCTCTAGGCTAATTTTGTTCTTTGTTGTATAACATTCTACTTCAGTAATTGGGTGATTCTACACGTTGAAATAAATATATATTATTATTGTTATTATTATTAAAAATTATTTATTGACGTCTTAATAATAAAAAAGTTATCGTATACTTTTAACTGATATACTGTTTTTTATTTTGTATGAAAAAGATTGTCAGTTTACAACATAATGGGTTGCAGTTTATGTCGCCAATTAAGCACTTAGCAACAACAAATGAGACAGTTACACAGTCCGAGAGAGGCGTAACAAATCAGTGTCCTCTTGGATGTATGAATCATTTATGAAAACCCTGTACAATGCAATATTAAATATAAAGTTGCTCTGTTTTCAGAATTTGACATAAAGTGAAATCGTCGTCACTGAGTTAATGGGTCAAATACATTATGCATCTATAATACAGTATAATATATATATTAAGATGACGCTATCAAGTTTTTGATGTACCAATATCACCAGGCAGGATATTATTGTTATAAACCGTTTCAGAGATACAGATATAATTCAAGATACAATGTGCACTAGGTACAGATTTTTTTGCAGATGCCGTGTTTAAGCACTGGTTAAAACAGTATCATATCCTTCAATATACATATATATATGTATTTACAGTTTATTTTTTTAGGACCTGGAAATGTTCGCTCAAGCCAAAGTACACATTCCACAGCTAACCCGACAACCCGACAATTTTTATGTGTCAAAAAATTTTGAATCAATGATGCTTGCAAAAAAATAAACGTTAACGAAACGTTTTTTTACTAACCTAAAATTTTTTGTTTCGCTCGTTTATTTTAACATGTAATCTTGGATTACACATTTTATTCGAACTGCAAATATAAACCACGTCACTCTTAGTTTGACTATACAGGGTCGCTAGAATGAAAGAACACTCTTAAATATCCTCTTACGAACCAATTGTACAAATCAACTGAAATTAGGTATAGAGGTACAAGAAGTTGTGCACTAATTATTCTACTACAATACAATTAATACATTCTTGAATATAGCTTTTTTTCTGAATTCACTGATGTAGCATAATTATAGTTCCTTTCTGATTGAAATGGTATAATAAATTATTTTAAATAACAATAAATAAAAAAAGAAAGATGACATAGTTACCTGTGAAAATAATTTTAATTTGTGATGTAAGATGTTTCTTGCATCTAAGCGAAACTGAGGCCATAGAATTATCAATGATTACCGGCTATGGTGGCAAAAGACGAAGTTTTGCTCAAATAGTAACACTTTTCAATGAAATTCATCCTGAGTGAGAAGCTATTACTAGGTCCACGGTTTCAAAAACTCTAGGAAGATTTAGTGAAACTGGAAGTGTTAAAGACCGACCAAAACCTGGCAGGCCAAAAACTGCTACAAATGACAAAAATGCCCTTAATGTCCTCGTAGACGCAACAGAAAATCCCAAAACGTCAGTGCAACAATTAGCACTGAATCACAATGTTAGTAGGAAATCAATTCGAACAATAATAAAAAAGAAAAAGTTTCACCCATACAAAATCCATTTGGTAAAAGAGCTAAACGAAGATGATTTTGATCCTAAAGTTGAATTTACCGAAATTCTTATGAACAGAATAATACAAGATAGAAATTTTATCAACAGGATTTTGTTTTCTAACGAATCTACGTTTTGTTTAAATGGTGAAGTGAACAAACACTACAAGTACTAGTCTGACACAAATCCATACTGTATGGAGCAAATCCAGAATTGCTTCCCAGTTACCAAAATCCGGATTTACCAGCAGAAACTATTTGGTTTCAACAAGATAGTACTCCACCCCCTTTTTGGAGGTAAAGTGCGACGGTACTTAAATGAAACTTTTTCTGGCAGATCGATAGACCGCAGGGGTACTATTGAGTGGCCTGCCAGGTCACAGGATTTGACACCACTTGACTTTTTTGTGGGGCTATTTGAAGAGGAACGCATACGTAACGAAATTGTCCAGAAATTCTCATTAACTCACTACAAAATTTTATTCAGCGTCTTTTTTACTGCCAGGAGAGCATTTTGAGCATCTTTTGTAGAAAAAAGAAGTTTAATTTTGGTTGCTGTTGGTAATGGTTAATTAAAATTGTGCTAGATCTATGAATTAAGAAAAAAAGCTCTATTTAAAAATAAAGCAAAAAATATTTTCTTTGACTTGTACCTAATTTCAGTTGATTTGCAGAATTGGTTCTCAAGATATTTAACTGTTTCCATACATTCTAGCAACCCTGTATTATGTTGCATAATTTCGTCCACGTCTTGAAAAATTAACTATAATATGTTTTATGAAATGACGTCACCGATATTTTTTATTTATTAAACTGTGATCGCTACTGTTTCATCAAATTTAAAAGGTTTTCTATTTCAGGTTTGACATAAAACATAACTCATTTTAGTTTAAATTTGTATTAAACAATCAAAATAGTGATACATTTGAAAGTAAAAAGTGCAGAAGGACACTGCAACCAATAGTCAAAATCAAAATCATTTAATAATAGATCGAGATTATGTTATCAATTTCGTACAGTGAATTAAAAGTAATATCTTTCTTATGTTTTTGCTACCTTCATGATAAAATTAGAATAATTAGAAACATTTTGGTAGGCATCTTACCAAGTACACGGTATTCTTAAAATACATATAATATTTGAGCACAGTCGGTCCAATAGTTTCGAAAATTTTCTAAATTAAGTCGATACAGACAGACGACAGACAACAG